GGACTTGGTTATGTACAAAACATAAGTCTTTTGAAGACCAGCTTGTGCCAAAAACCTTTTTAGAATCTTAGATGTTTGGATTCTTATTAATACCGTAACTTAGCCTAGATTTAGCGTCATAGCTAGAATTGTTTTAAGTCCTGTTTTTAAGAGATTGGTTTTTATTTCAATGTCAGTTTGATTTTACCTCGACCTAAAAATTAGGACTACCGGTAGTTGAAAATATAAGCTCAGAAAGAAACAAAATGGCCAAAATAAATTTTCCAAAGTAGTGATTGCGTAACTTATTTGGAGCTCTGATTTTCTTAAAAACCAATTTTATTTCTTATAGACTACTTAGTAGGCTAACGCTTTTTAGGCCTATTAAGCCTACTTTATGGAATTATTCTTTTGTTTTAGTGGAGTGTTTTTATGTGTAAAATACCCCCGCCGCAGCAAACCTGCAGACTTAGCGAATTTCCATTTGCCTGTTTGGATTTAAACTAAAATGTCTCCTTAAAAATATCACATTTATTCCCTATTTAAACAGAATTAGTTTAATGAGTACTTAGGTTTGCTGCAACAGGGAGGGTAAAAGTTTTTTTTAAATGTAAAATGTTAAAAGGTACTGTGGTTTAGTAAGAAATTCATGTATTTTCCAAATTTGATCAAAATATGTTCATAAACAAGCAAACTACAACAGTTGACTTATTCTCCATAAGAATAACATGGGAATTTTAAAATTACAATTTTTTTGAATTTTCTCTGTAAAAATTAGGCGCATAATAACGCTTCAATATACTAAATTATTTGTTTTTTTAAGCTCTACAAGGTATAAAAAGAAATTGTGAAATTTTGTGTTTTTAGGGTCAAAAATGGGAAAACCCTATTTTTACCCCATAAAACCCCCCATAAACATCCGTTCTCATAGTCCGATCATGCTGGTTCGCGAACTCATTCAAGTTTTTCCCGCCTTACACCTTCAAACCAAATTTTATCAAAATCGGACAAAATTACTCAAGTTATCGTGCGGATGGACACATATCTATATATGGGGGAATTGGGTATTAGGGGTAATTGGGTATGAACTTTTTTGAGATTTTTTAAAAAATACATGTCTTTTATTAGAAAGAATTAAAAAATCTGTAGTGATAGCTAGTTATGTTTTATAAACCTCAAATTTATTTTAGGTTGTTATCTTGAAATTGAAACGAGTTAAAAAATAATTTGTTCACCCCTTACGTTTTTCAATTTTTAAAGTGCCTATCAAACTTGGCCCGAGTAACCTTGGAAACAATATAAAAATTTCAGTTACTGCAAAATATTTACTTTTACCTCATAAGAGCAAAGTATACATACTAATAGTAATTTTCTGAAGTTTAGGAATTTTTAAATTGACTTTTAAGTGTATTTTTTAGGGGTTGAAAATGTTAGTACCCAATTGCCCCCTCATGGGAAAATGGGTACTATATTTTTTTTTGCCTGATAACAATACATCTGTGTTTTTTTGGTTAAAATATGCTTTTAGGGGGTAGTTAAGAATTGCTTTAGGTTGGTATGACTTCTGTGCATTGAATTTTAAAGAAATTATGGCTTAGTACCCAATTCCCCCGTCACATCGGCTTAGAGGCAGAAGACCATAAGAGTTTTTCAAAGTTTTGTCTTCTTATAACTTTTTTTTGTAATAAGTTAGAATAATCCAACTTGTTTTATGTTTAAGTATGTCTAAGAAGCTACAATTAATACAATTTTTATAACCCTAGGTTATAAGGATTTATTACAAAGAAATATCTTTGAAAAACTGTAAAGTTTTCAAAAAATAACTTTAACGCTTTATAAAATTGTCAAAAATAATGATAAGAGACTAAAACTTGTCTTAAAATGCTTATTTGTGTTTTCTTAATAACACCCATTTTCCCAGAATTTTTAATAGGTCATTTTAATGTATAATAGGTGTAGTACCCAATTCCCCCCTTTGGGGTAATTGGGTATGAAATATATATATATATATTTTTAATAGAACAAAACAACTTGCAGGTCTGAAAATAAGTGAAAAGATGTCTATTGGAAGCCTTTAAATGAAGGCGTAAAAGTTGTAAAGTGATGCAATTTGTTTTAGCATACAAAGTACATTTTACAAAACCTAGTACCCAATTCCCCCCTTCTACCCTAGATATATAAAAATTTGAACGAATGGTGTTTTTGGCCTCTGGTGACACCAAAATGAAAAAGTAAATCGGTCCCGGGCTTAGGTCTTACAATGAGACCTACGGTAATAGCTACTTCCCTATAGGGAAATTCGCTAAAATATGTCACATCAATTTAAGTTAACTTAAAGGCATTGTCTAACTAAAACTGTGGTCAAGTGTGTCACTAAAGCCATGTATAAAGCCAGTTTGCAAGCAGATTACCTGCCTCAGGAAACTTACTTTAAGTTATTTATTTGTACAAAGTAGTTACACCATTTTAGATACGGTAACTTAGTAGGCTACATTTTTTTGTTTGCAGATGGCTAAGGCAGGGTTGCCACCTTACGTTAGGAAAAAAATCGGGACATTGCCCCCTCCCACCGAATTAACATAGGCTGGGTACACTTCCGTATCTGTTGGCACAAACAACCGAATGAAAATATTGATTATTCGATTGTTTCATTTGATATATCGATCGATATTTTTATTCGGTTGTTTGTGCCAACAGATACGGAAGTCTACCCCATACTTTAATACTTTCTCATTAAACTTAAATGGCGACCATACAAAGTAGGTAGGCCTATTTTAAGCCAAGTGTGAATGGAGATGAGAGTAGGATGAGTGGCGCGATCTTCTAGTCTTGTTAATGACTAAGGCCGACATTGGCGACATTCCTTAGACACAACTGTTAATTAATAGCCCATACAGCTAATGGCAACTAAGGGACCTACAGTTTATAGTTCATAGGCTTACATTACGAAAATCGGGACTATCCCGGCAGAATCGGGAGGGGTGGCAACCCTGGGCTAAGGTGAAACAATATGTAGGCCCTAGGTCTAACTTGATACTTAGCAACATGCACGAGGGACCATTATAAGAATAATCAAAATAGGCTATACCTTAGGCTAAGTTACTGACCTCAATAAAACAAGGCTTAAGTTAGCTACAGAACAGATAATGAAGATATTTTGTGGGCATGTACTGGCACTATGGATGTGATAACTTATACCCCGATTACAAGGCAAAAATTTGGTTTGGATTCCACTTTAATCTGTCTAGGTCCCTTAGTTGACATTGGCTGTATGGGCTATTAATTTTTTTTTTTTTACTTTTATTTTCCAACGGCCACTTTACAATGAAAATATTTTATTTTTTTTATTTTATTTACATTCCAACGGCCAAAGACCATTACAAAAATGATTGCGATACTTATATTCTTAAATTAATAAATAAATATGCAGTTATATAATTCAATAGATGTATGATAATAAAAATGATGAAAATGTATGATGAATACCTACCTAACAGATAATATATAAATAACATTTAAAGAGATCAACAAGACAAGAAACACAACTCAATTTACATGCACATTGATTAATAAATATTCTAACCGCTATCTATATAACAAATATAACAACCTATAATAAATTTTGTTGCTGGCGCAGGGAAGTCAACCGTACCGTAGCCTTCCTTTGAAAAGTCCCCGTGGTGTCTCCGAAAAAGTCGATACTGGCCCCCAAAATGTTTCCAAGACGAAGAAATCTTGCAAGAGGAGCGTGATAATTGTATACTGAAGTGCCTCTTGCCAAACAGATCTTGTGAACGGGTTCTAGAAGGCACACAAAGGTCCACTTCGGCAAGTAAAGCAGGGCAGCCAATTTGGCCATTGAGAAGTTTGTGGAGGAAAACAACGTCTGCCACACAGCGTCTCAAGTGAAGATCTAGCAGGTTTAAATTGTTTAGGAAGACGGCCACTGGGACTTCACGGTACTGCATGCCTTGACGGGCACCGAGAAATCTGATGTATTTCTTCTGGATCCCTTCGAGTTTGTTGATGGGCCCTAGGTGGAAGGGTGACCAAACTGGGCTGGCGTACTCCAACAGCTGTCGGATCAGGGAGCAATACAGAGTCTTTAAAGCAATGGCATTTGTTAGCCCACGAGTAGCCCGAAATAGGAAGCCCAGCAACTGGTTGGCTCTTTTACAAAAGTAATCTACAAGCTCGTCGAAGGAGAAGTCCGATGAGAAAATGACTCCCAAGTCTTTCACCATTGAGACTCTCTTTAGAGGTTGGTTTTAAATGGAATATTCTGCCATGTATGGAGCGCGAATCTTACTGAAAGTCATACTGGAGCACTTTGACACGTTCAGGGTCATGTTGTTACATGACATACATTTACAACTTGAAATAAACAGAAATAAATAGTAACAAATAGGCCTAGGCCTAGTTGTAACAAATAGTGAACAGTAAGTTAACAAATAAATAGTAGCAATATAAATAGCTTAGGCCTAAGCTTTATTTAGGCTACAAATTATAAACAGAAAGTTTGTAGATGGCAACAAGTAGGCTAGTATGAATTGCATGAGTTTAACAGCTGTGTCTAAGGAATGTCAGCCTTAGTCACTAGCTTTAAGACTACCTCAGTAAGTTACAAGATCGCCAATCATCCTACACTCATCTATCTCCATTCATATTTGGCTTAAAATAGCCTACCTACAATCGTATGGTCACCATTTCAAACTAAAGTATTAAAGTCCTAACCAAATTTTTAAACCCAAACTGAGGCTTTTGGATCAATTTGTTTTTAGACTAAACTTTACCTGTTCAAGATACTTTAGTAAACAAATAAATGGTAGGCATAGGCCTAAAAACCTTATAACTTAACTAAAGTTATTGAATTTTGTAGAGAGAAGTAGTCCAATAAACTCAAGTTATTTAGGTCTAAACACTAACAAGTTGTAGGGTTAGGCTTAGCTTACAGTTTAGGATTTGCAATGAAAATATGAGTTAGTTTTTAAGTTAAATGAGATCTGATTTAGCCTACTTACCTACCAAACAGGTAGTCCTAATTGAACGATTTCCGTTGAACAATTAATTTAGCCAACACTCCTGGAGTTGCCCAACTCTTCCAGCGTTCCAGCTACAACAGCGTTCAACAAGCACTTCCTTGGACCTGTCTTGTCATCTAAGTTAGCCAAGAATAAAAACTGTAAGTTAGTCCTCTTTTCTGGTAACTGGAGGATGTGTCCAATTTCAACTTCCTAAATGCAATCTTTTCCCCAACACTGCTTTTGTCAACTTATTAAAAATGGATCAGTTTCAATAATTCCCTTACATCACAAGATTAGGAAGCTAAGTGAATAGGTTAAGTTTACATTTAAGGACCTGCCTAATTTAGTCAATGCTACTACAAACTAAGTTACTTGACGGAATTAGAGAAATTTTTTATCACAAAAAAATTTTCTAGTTCTTAATTAATGTCAATCAAATTCCTAGTATTCATTAAAGGCGGACAAATTCGAAATAGCCCATTGAATCAACTTTTAATGCTCATATAGCTCAAACAACCATCACAACCAACACTTCGTTCACTAACACTAACACAACGAACAGACATCAGACAACAATGGGAATGGCCTACTTCACCTGCTGGCTGTCTGCTCCGTGCTCCTGCTGCTAAGGCTAAGTCAAGTGCCTATTTATTTATTTGCCAAGCCCAACCAAACCGAACCAAACAATCCCACAGACAGACAACCGGAACATACGGTACGACCACCCGACTACGATATGAACGGTTGAGTGAGTACTATATCTCAAGTCAGTTTTATAGACGTTAACCTACATCATAGATAAAACATACTCCTAGTATGTTTTATCTATGCCTACATCTATAATAGTTGACACCAGTTTATTAATTCGTGTATTATTCATTTAAATTTATGAACTGAAATTTGTTAATAGATTGAACATAAAACAAAAAATAGAATCGAAAACCAAAACAATATACATTGAAAATCCATTTTTGTACATTTAACGATAGATAAAACATACTCCTCAAGGATATGTCCTTGAGGAGTATGTTTTAATAATGAAAATAAAACATACAGAATTAAAAACGAGAACAATATGAATTGAAAATCAATATATGTATATTTTAAGCGGAGTCAATATTTTCATATTCCAGTAACCAAGCTTTCGTAAATACCCAAATACCATTAGCTGCTTCCAAACATAACAGCCGTTACAACCCTAATAATTAAAAAACCTGTTAGTTCGTGGAGTCCCAGATGGTCGAACCACCTGCTGAAACATGTAGGGAGAACATGGAAATGACTTGATACTTGATGTCTTCGTCTTTGACCCAGCTTGTGGGTCTGACTGCGTCAGATGCCTTTCGGATATTTCTTTCCCTTGAATAGTGGGATTCCTTCTGCATCGTTCAGGGTGTATACTGGCCATTCTAAAAGTTCATGTTTGATGTGGTTCTTGAAATTTGAGATTGTGAGGCTTTTCACGTCAGCTGGGAGGCTGTTGAATAGTTTTATATATTATATTCCTATAATCTTACTAATATTATAAATTTGAAAGTTTGTGAGTTTGTGTGTGTGTTGCTCAATCACGCATAAACTACTGGACGGATTGGGCTGAAATTTGGCATGATGAAAGCTCACATTCCCGATTAACATTAAGGCATATTCTTATCTCAAAAATCCTTTCGGGCTCCGCCCCAGTGGTTCTGTAGTTCCCCATGTTAACCTTATGAGTATTCATATTTAAAGGGAATTACTGTAAAGAATTTAGTCAGCTGTTTTAACATTTTCAAGTTGGTTCTATAATATGCAATAACACTAAAAAGTTGTAAGGTTTCCCAACAGGGTGCAGCACTATTATTTTTTTTTTTTTGCATAATATATGACAACAGCTAATTTGAACTAAGCAGCAACAAAAAGCTGTGATACACAATGAGAACTGTCAATGTAAGATTGTTTACAGTTAGGTTTGAGTTTTTAATTTAATGAATAATTGGTGATATTGTTCGAATGTTTGATCATTTACTTTTTTCTATTGTTTAGGTGCAGTGGTAGAACATTATGGCAATGGTAGATGTGTTATACTTTATCATACCATAAATTTATGAACCAAATTCTATCAAACTGCGTCCTGCTCCATTGCAAACGCAAAGCTTGAGTATAACTGCACTAAGCATTTTATACTTATATACCAACCCCGTACGAAGGACGGGTACTCTGCTAGTATAATATAATTTTATAATATAATATAATATTTCCTATAATATACCTTTATAGTTATATTCCTGCAATTGGAAAGGATTTTTGTGTTTTGCTCAGCCTTCATCTGTGGACTTCCAGATTTTGAGCTTTACGAGTTCGATGTTGGTGTATGGTAGTTCTGTCATTAAAAGATTGATATTCTGTTTGATGTAGTTTAGAGAGTTGAAGATATACTGGTTATATACTATGAGGATTCTAAATTTTTTTAAAAGAGGTTTACATTGTTCAAGGTCATGAGTTGATGCCATAACTCTTAGCGCCTTCTTCTGCAGAATAAGATCATCACGCAGGTAGCCGACCTCCTAGCCACTCTGTAACCATCCGACTTACGACGTCTGTCTACAGGTTCTCTGGCCCTGGTAGCAAGTCTTCTGGCTCTCAATGCTGACCGACGCAATTCCGCAATCTCGGCAGTCCACCAGTACACAGGTCGCTTAACTTATTGCACCGGGATCTCCTGCGAGGCATACACTCATCGCAAGCGGAGACTATTAGTCCCATCATGGATGTAACTAACACCTCTGCGAGAGCCACGCTAGTTGCGGGGGAAGCACCGGTGTTCCTCGTAAGATGGCTTCATTGAATTTTGCCACGTCCAATTTTTTAATATTCCATCGAACGGGCACTTGACGAAACGCGGCTACTTGTCTCTAAATAATGTACTGGTGGTCACTGCCCGTGTAATCCTCCAGAACTCTCCAGGCTCTGATCCTTCCAGGCTCTGATCCTTCGAAACCCACCTTACCAGAAGCGCTAACTCCAGTTCTCAGATATTCATTATACTTATACAAGCTAATGCGATATTTCCATGGCCCGGTCGGTATTTCGGAACCTACCTTATATCATAGATTAAACATACTCCTCATAATCCTTGAGGAGTATGTTTAATCTATGCTTATAATACTACCAGAAGCGCTAACTCCAGTTCCCAGACATTCATTAAACCATAGACTAACCAACACAAGTAGACTTCTCATCCCATTGTAAATTTTGAAGCACGTTTTTCGTGTCTAGTTCATGTACGTGACACAAAGGCGCTAGTGTCGATGAAACTTTGTTTTAATTATTTTAGGGTTAATTTCTTGATTTCTGCTGTACTGTTTGGTTATATAACTAGGGGACAAGTTATTGTTTATGATTAGATCGTATTATTTGGTTAAACGAGGTTTTAAATGGCTGTATTAACGGGAAACAAATTGTAAACAAAACACGACCTCTACATAAACCGTACATGAACTAACAATAAAATTGTCTTCAGCTGTTCCATAAGGATGAGAAATCTACTAAGGGAGTATGTTTTATCTATGATTAAACTTATACAAGCTAAGTCAAAAGACAAAAGAAAGTTAGGCCATAGATAAAACATACTCGTTTTATCTATGGTCATGTTAATTTCAGCTAACAATTTCAGTTCTAATGTTACATGACAACAAACTAAGCTCCACCTTTATGCACTCTAAATTAAAGGGAAAACAGAAACAGCTGTCGTTTAATGAAACAGGCGGCGAAGCGGCGTGGCGATTCGGTGAAAAAAAAACAACAAATTGAAATTAAATTCGTATCCGTATCGTTATCGTATCACGTCATGTATCACGTATCATCATCTTTGCTATTATTATTTTTATTTACCAACCATTGAGATGAATGACTTACTCTGTTTTTTTATTAGGTTAGGTGTTAATAAGTTATAATCTTTTGTTTAGTATTTTTCGAATTTCAAGTGCTTTGTATTGTTGTTGGATTTAAAATAATTTTGTTCACTTTGTTGCTTATATTAACATTTTCTAAATGTGATAACTTATTGTCAAACAAAAACCAATTAGGGCCTAGGCTAAATCATCCTTGAGCGAAACCTCTTTTGAAAATTTATTTATTTTATTAATATTGTATTCTAAGGAAGAACATTTATTTTAGCACTGATAACCAAGTTTTCCCTAACCTGTAACCTGTGCTAAAATTATTAGAAGGTCCAACAACCCTTTGTAGGCCTAACCTAGTTTGGGTTTAACTTGTAAAATGGACCCCAGGAAAAAAAGTACAGCTGTGTCTTATCACTTGGGAGAAAGCAATTTTCTGAGTTCATTTTCACAACTTAAAGCAAGTCAATCTTTCGAACCAACTCCTAAAAAGCCTAAACTAGAAATAACAAAAAATGCGAAGACACCAAAATTTGGAACCCTTTCACAATCTGTCAACCAGAAGGAGACTATTGACGACATGTTATGGGGAGAATTGGATTGTGACGAACTAAACTTAGCTCAACTTGAATATGATGAAACAATTGCTTTGTCCCAGGTAAGATGATGAAATCATAAGATATAAGCCTATCATTAAACTCTCAGTAGACTTGCGGCCGACTCACGGTCAGACCCTTAGCTGTACAATAAGTTATAAGTTGAGTTAGTATCCTGTTCTGTTTGTATACTCTCTAATGCATGCTCTCAAACTATACGTATAGATGTAATTCTCGTATACCGTAAGTTACTAAACCTTTTGATACTTAACTTAATACTTTGAATCTAAAACGGCGACCATATGAATGTAGGTACTGGTAATTTAAAGCCAAGTATGGAGATGAGTGTAGGATGATTGGTGCGATCTTGTAGTCTTGTTAGTGACTAAGGCCGACATGTTCCTTAGACACAGCTGTTAATTAATCACCCACACAGCCAATGGCAACTAAGTGACCTAAAACTTACCAGTAGGCCTCTAGTTTGTAATCGGAATCAAATTTTTCCCTTGTAATTAACGAAGTGGTCTAATTATCAGGGTAGTAGTACTGCAGATAGTCGTAGTACTCACTAACTAGTGCGGAAGTTAATCCACACCAGTGAGTATCGCAGGCACAGTGCATGCCTCGTCAATTCGTGACCTCCTGGTAGCTGGATTACAGGACGATGCCACCGTCCCAGTAAACTTAAGTGTTCTGTGTATGTACACTAATTCTAGAGACTTAAACGGTACTTAAAAGTGTTCTAATTGCTGTTTAAGTTTTTATTCATATGTACGGTAATAAATAAAATGGTACTTTGGTATTATCCGGAGGCCACTTATTTTAGAAAGATTTTTTACTGGAGACAAAAAATAACTTAGGTAGGCCTAGGCTACATAATTGGAATGAACACAGGTACCTACTTAAATTAAATTGACTCCTACTGTCCAAATTTGACATGATTACGCCTAGTGGCCTTTGAGTTCTGCCTCCCAGAAGGCAGCAAATCTGGCGAACTTTGAGTTGAATGCGTCGCCCCGCTATACTCCACCAAGTAGGTATACAGGGCGCTGCGGCGGTTATGTTAGGCTGCTATTGTTCGATTCATAATGAAACAAGGAAAGTCCTGCAAACATATTTATGATGACCCATGCTAACTTCATTATTTGCTGTGGTGTTTCCGGACCAATTGATTGACAAAAAATAAAAGAATAAGAGTTTTTGGTACGGTACCTACCAAAGTACCAATAAACCTAACAATAACTTATCTACCCTAATCAAAAACTGTTTTCAATTTTCAATAACTTAGGCCTACTGTTGATAGGTAACCACATAGAAATTGAAAATTCATGGTTTCTTCCATTTTTATTCTTAAATACCTCTAAGAAAAAAGTAAGGATGAAATAAATCAAAAGCTTTGATAACATTTTGTTATTATTTTTATTTGTCATCATAAGTTATGGTACTGAATTCAATATGATATTAAAATAGAACCAAATAGATATTATTGATATTAATCATTAGCTTATTCATCCGATAATATATTCTCCTAACCACTAATGGCGGAGTTGATAGTTGGTTCTCTGTGAAACTGTAGGCTACCTGAATATTGATGCATGCCTACGTCAAGTATAAATGTTGCCCATAGGCTATTAATTTTTAAGTATCACCTATATTAACTTATGAAGAACTGACAATTTCCTCACGGAGCAGTCATCGACTATGCTTTACTGCTATTCACTCATGCCCCTCATGCCTACCAACCATGCTACATAAAAAATGACAATTTAGCCTTTAATATTTTTCAGATGCCAATTAAATCACAGAATAGCATCAATAACATTCAAGAAGCCAAAAAATATTCAACAAATTTAAAAAATAATGCCAAAGTTCCCATTCGAAGATTCAACAGCAGCCAGTGGCCAACGTCATCATCTTCTTTCTCTGACAAGAACTCTGCGGTTAACAAAGGTAAACCAATTTCAATCATAGGTAAGCCTAAGCGGTAGCTATAGGTAGCCTATAGGCTACACTTTTGGAAATCTACAGCCTACTTGAGTGAAATTAGGCTTACCTTACTTAAATAGCCTACTTACAATATTAAAAGACAAGCCTAGAAATTTAAATGTATTTTATCTTTGTGCTGTATATTCTAAGGTTAGGGCCTATAGGGCCTGCTTTAGGTAACCTTAGCTTTTATCCTAAAGTGTAAACTAAGTTTACCTACGACCCTTTTTTAAAGTAGCCTTGTCAGTTCAGTTCTTAGAATCGAAAAGTTTCACAGAACAGCAATGTTTACTTTTTATAACAGCCTAGTTTTACTCATAACAACACGGGTAACAAACCAATGAGGTTCAAGGATTGGGGAGAAGAAGTAAAATTGTAATATTTCAAACTTCAACTAATCAGCTGTTCAGGCCAATTTAATTGTTGAGTGGTGCAATTAGTATTTGGTACAATGTTTCATTGCATCACTGTCAGCGGCAATGAGAGGTTATAAACGAAAACATAACCTCTCTAAAAGTTATGAGTAGTGATTTTTAGTAAACTAAAAAACTGTCATAGGCAAAGTAGTGTACGCAACTTGTGTAAATAGTGTTAAATCAATCAGTACCGGTAATCAATGTTATCACTACAAACACCCCCTCATCTAATTAACCCTTCTCATTTATTTTCTATTAAATATAAATTATTTTTAGCCTCTGGTAACACTGCTGCGACTCTTCAGAGCGAGTGTGACAAGCTAAAACTAGAAGTTATGAAAATGAAAGAAGAATATAATAAGAAAGCTGGAGAGGTATGGTAGTTTATCCAAGAGATTGCAAAATAGTATTAAGTGTTTTTATATGTAAGTTGTAATGTAATTCCAACTCTGTTGACAAAGAAATCCCTCTACTAGAAGATACAAAATGAGGAATTGATCTTGATCAGATTTTCTATGATTAAAATACATTTTGTCACTGTAAGCTCGGCCATTGACGAGTATAGTTACTTTGAGTGCCACCAGTTTACCTGCATCTTTTACTTGTTTGTACCATCATAGGCCTACTGTATGAGTTTTATAAAGGGCTAGATTAGGAGATAAACACCACAGAAGCCAAGCCGTAGGGGACCACGTGCCTTATTCAGCATTGAGCAAACCAGGTCTTAGTTATGAAACATTTTTGCCAAATCACTTTAGGTAGGCCTACAGTTATTTTCAAGCTGTGTTTAAGGCTCGTATTATCTTATCTAACATGCGGCATGCGGAGACCATAAAGCACTTCATCCAAAAAGTCAAATTATTGCTCACCCCAGACAGTTGTTTTATTGATAGACCCTACAAATTCAGGTATCTGACAAAAGCCTGTAGTCTTCCAATTCCTCCTCAGGTATCTACCTTTTACCAAATTGCCAAGAGTTATCCTTCTAACATCAGAGAGCTTTTCACACTCAAAGAGCGGGCGATCCCCTCTGACCTACCGCAGTGCCAGATCGGTTCACCATTAAACAAGTCCATCCGTTGTAAATGTTTCCTGAATCGCCCATGGCCAGTTATCAGTTCCACTGGTTAATTCCATTTAATTCTTTGATTGTCTAGCCTCAAATAGTCAGAGGCAACCCATTTAGAAGGCATAAACGGAGTAAGCTTGTCAACCCTAAGAAGGGTAGTTTCAACCCAACATTTACAGTGCTTTTCATTGGCCAATGACACGCTCGTATTATTAAAGAGCCGGTGGGTTACTAGCCTAGTGGTAAGTGTCTCGAGTACTTCCTCATGTAAAAATTTCCACTGACCTAGACAAGACAACAAAAATTTTAATTGTATTGCGCAAAGTATAGGGTAAATTTAATTATTTGTAGATTGTTTTAACTTCGGAAAACAATATTGGTGATTTTGAGCCTTAAAATTATACAGCTGAATTTAGCGAACCGACTTGTTTCATCCTGACTAAAGACTATCTAAAGCAGAGTTTTCCTAGTGAGCAGAAGCGGAGAGCCACTCACCTCTCGTAGGTAATATAATGGTACTGTTTTCCTAGAAGCGGAGTTGAGGTCAAACCTTAAAAACAGGGATGGCCAATTCCGATTCTCGATCAGTATCGAGAAAAGGTCCGTTCTTAATTGTGACATTGGGTTCGTGGTAAAATTCTAACCATCTTCTACAATCACAGCGATACAACATAGTGATCATCTGCGGAGATTACGATATTTAAAATTTCCAATCAGACAAAACTTATATCCTACAAAATGCTATTAATGAGTTGAATGTGACAGTTAAATATGATCTCTTTGAAACAGGCAACACTCCTCAGGATGAAGATGAAGGATGCTGAAAAACAACATGAAAAAATAACACAGGTCCATCTGAGTAAGAGAGCTGAAATGAAAATAGAATCAGAAAAACGCATCAGTAGTCTTCAGAAGGAGATTCAATCATTGAAGGGACAGATTGATGTGAAGGTGGGTTTTAATCCTGAACTTATGACACTAAGTTAATATAATACAGTCTTAATTGTATAACCTTAAAGTAACCTTCGAACGGTCGCACCTGATCAAATTGATACCAAGGCTTCTTTCATGGGCACAATTTTGTAGCGAGCGGTCCAACCACCACCCCCTTCCTTACGGTGGTCTTTACCCCTACCTAATATCGATCAGTGATGTAACCGGATTTGTTGGATAAACACTTGCCGCTCACAAGGTCATTCATTGTATCACTTTGATACAGTGCAACCCTGCTTGTTTTACAAGCGTTTTGTAAGTGATTCTTCAGCCGGGTTTTGCAGGTAGCATAACTTGATTCATATCTGAGTGGTAGGGATGTATTTATAGTTTCTTAGTGTATTTACTTCTGAAGATTTGGTGTGGTGGATGTGATGTACAAGTAAATACAATTGTATACATGATAAAGCAAAAACAATATTGTTTATTATTTGACAATACAATGACAATGCTAAACAATCACAACAGGTAGAGTCCGTAGTTCTAGGATTATTTCTTTTACATATTAAAAGCACCTTTGTTCTAAATGTTAAAAAAAAAATTCTCTATGTACTAGAATGCATACATCTTTAGATTAGATTAATTACTGGCTCCACCTACAGTTTTTTGCCTTTGATTGTGTAAATTGAAAACAAATTACTCCCGCAAATGATTAAATACAGTAGACCCTCGCTTTTTTAACACATTTCCACAGGATGGCTCATACTAAACAAAAGGGAAAACAGTTAGACAGCTGACCCTCAATAATCTGACACTCGTAATCTGACGTACTTGGTAGTCTGACACGCTGATGGCAGTCTTATAGTCGGAACAAAACGAGCGTGTAGCAACATAAATCCCCCTCTGTATCGTTCTGTATGTGCCATGATTGTATAGCCTAGTTTAAAAAAATTGTATGTACTGTTTGGTACTTTTTGATTCATTTGTATACTGTCCCAAATGCTGTGTGCATAATATTGGATTAGAAAATAATGGTGATAATTTATCTTGATGAAATGTTTTAAGCAGTGCCAGATTTACCACTAGGCCACAAGCAAAATAGGGCCGCTATGTTTGGTACAAAAACATAACGATTTGAAGAGTGTTGTTAGAGTTTTTATCTTAAAATCTTGCAAATTATTTTTATCATTTTAGAATATGGAACTAAAAACAGCTGAAAGAAGATCACAGATGACTTCAGTTCATAGAATTCAACCAGATTCTCCAAACAGGCTTGGTGCTTTAAGGTAAAAAATAAAGAAACATGGCATAGTGCTACTACAGTATATAATCACAGTTGTGTACCAGTATGTATACAACAATCACTTTAACATTTTACTTGAATGTATGTTTTTGAGACCGAATTGTTATAAAAATATTTATCACAGATATTTTGCTGATAATTTAACCCTTCCCGGACGTGGGACTTTTATGGCCTAGTACGGGCAAAAATAAAACTAATTTCAAAAATGAATTTTCTATATTTGTGTTTTTATACCTGTATAGCCTAAATCAAATAAACACAATCAATGGAACATCTCATAATATCTAAATAATGTTTTACTTGTTTTTATGCACAAAATAAATGGTGCGGATAAGCAGGCAGATATATCTCCCGTCCGTCTTTGAAAATATGGCCGTGACAAGGATAGGCAATAAATAAATAACAATATGTTATCACTATTTCATGCTGTTAGACAGACAACAACTGTAGCTTTTAGTGCCAACAAAGTCAACGTTGTGCTAAACGTGCAACATTGTGGGGGTGGGGGGACCGTGGAAGAGGGCAGCCGGCGTGTTGCCCACTTCCTTTGACCTTGAAAGCAAGGCTGTAGTGGTTGCGGAGAGCGTGGGCAAGTAGAGCCGTGGTAGCCCGAGACATCTGGGTAGTGCAAAAACACCAGCCAGGCCGTCTGAAGATAAGTTGGATACATCCGACTCCCGTCCGAAACATAACAACCCATATGCGGATATATCCACCACCTTTATTGCCAAAGACTTAGGCGGATATATCCGTCACCCGTCCGCGAAGGGTTAAACTTTTCAGCCAAAGGGCAGGGATTCTAACTCTTTCATAATAAAGCAAAACAATATGATATCAGCTGTGGACTCTGCAGTGAAATCATATTGGCTTCAAACTCCTTTGTAAGGAGTGTAAAATAAGATGAAACTTGACTCATTGTTGAAAGACATACAAAAAGGTCCCAAAACAGTAATAAATACCCCCACCGCAGCAGACCTGCAACTAAAAGTTAATTTCCATTTCATCTGATACTGATAGGATTTTTTATAGATGATGTTCTTGGATGAGACCATCACTGTGACTAAGCATTTCGTATTTGGTAAACCAAATCGTTCTTGTTATCAGGTTTTACTTGTATTTATTTATCAAGTTTGTCAGGCCAGGTAAGGATGGTACAGAGGAGTGGGACAGCAGCAACGTGATAAAAGACCCAAGTCTCAAGTTCATCAGAGACTTTGTTACGTCGGAGCTGCTAAACCCATCACCAGCCGAGGCCTCCGAGACCACACGCTCCTACATACCTCGACTGTTCATAGGTCTGTCTAGTCTTTCTTATTCACAGCATATCGAACAAAAATATTCAAAATTAAACAGTAAACTGAGTCATATAACTGTCTACAACAAAATAAGGTACCCATTAAATTAAATGCATAGGCCTACATAAAATGGATGGTATTAGTGATGAGTCAGTTGCAATTTTAATCAGTTTGGTTTTTGTTTTATCGGTTGTCAGTTTTCACTTTTTTTAATGGTGTTAATACCTGCTTTATGTTTATCCCTTAAAATCCTTTATTTTTGTTTATTTGGTTTGCTGTTGGTGATGGCAGGGTTATGTTGTCGCAGGAACTATTGCAGGTAAAACTTTAATTGTTCATTATAACTGGTGGAAAATGTAAGCATCCCTGAAACGACGATAAAATTAATTATTTTTTATTTCCAAACACTCCTAATGTCTACGTAATGATGAACACATGTCTTGTATGGTAGCCATTAGAAAAGCAGTATTAGGTTTTGGTATCTACAAATTTAGTGGGTATTTTTATAATTTCATCGTGAATATAATCTGTGATAGCGGCAAAATCTTAACCCTAGCGCCGGCAAACGCGGGATATACGGCGCGAACGGCTGCGGCTGAAATGGCAACGCCGGATATACAGCGCCAATGCAGGTGTTACGGTATATATAATATATATTATATTTTTTTTTTTAGTTTTGCTCACTTTTTAGGGCTACTGTTTTAATAAATAAGTTAAATAATACAAACCAGAGTACCCTGAAATTCATTTTTATTCAACTAATACATATTTCGGCACTAAGGCCATTATACATATTTTATATATTAGCCTATATATATATATATAATATATTATTATTATTATTATTATATATTATTATTATTATATATTATTATTATTATATATTATTATTATTATTAGTATTATTATTATTATATATTATATATTATATAAGGTGTACGGTACGGTTTTGTACATGACCTGGGTTGGATGATTATTTGGTACTTGCGCGGGGGTACGATCAACATAATAATAGGGCTATCAAACAAAATACACAAAATAAGCTATATAAACTATATATTTTTGGAATCAACACAAAATTTACTACAACTTTACAATTTACCTTATGATGATAAATCTTACCTGCACTTAGCTACACGACGGAATATAAAAACTTTTTATAAAAAAATTAATAATGCCTACAATTCGGAAAAACTAAAAAAAAAATTTTTTGTGGTAACCATGTTAACTCCTTATATTATTGTTCTTTGTCTTATTCTGAACAAAATGATATATAATAATACATAGTTATGTTGCTATTTTTATGATGGTTTAAAAATGATATTACAAACCGGTAATCAATAATATCCCTATGCCAGTACAGCGTTACAATAGTGCCAGCTCTAGGGTTAAACATCCCGCACAATCGAGAAGACAATATCATCATCTTCTACGACTGTGGTAAAATCTTGAAACAACTACCACAATCCCTACCTCATCAACGTTGCCCGTGATCGCAGCAACATTTTGAACTTCTCTTACAATCGCAAAGACATTATCATCGCATCCCGCCATTGCAAGGACATGGTTTTTGCCCATGATCGCGTCAAAATCATGAATGTGTACCGCGGTATCGGACACACCATCATCTTTCTGGACCAAGGCGAAATCCTGACTATCTACCGTGGTCTTAAAGAATCGTAAACATCTTTATGATCACAGAGACGTTACTATTGTCCCTCCCATTGCGTATAATCTCATATGTTACTTGCAATCCTCGTGAGGATGTTGCTATTGTGTCATGGGATGGTGACGAAACTATTGCTCAACAACCGACAAACCAAACCTGACATTATCCATTAACTTGGTTTAGGGTTTTTTTGTTTGAAAAGTGATAAAAGTGAAAACTGACTTAAAAAACCGACCTATCCCGTATGGTAATTAAAGTTTGCTTATCCCCAGTCTCGTTACCTTGCATTCAATTCAATTCAAAATGTCTTGTTCGTTCATTCACTCTTATTTTTTCATGTACATAAAATACAATAAATAGTGTCCCAGCAGTTCAAACTTAAATCCAACATTTCAGATATGTTTTTAAATAGCTGTACATCGTTCACATTACTTAATTCATATATCTTCTCAAGAAAAATTGCATTTTTATTAAAAACAGTTCAAGTGCATTTCTAAATGTATTGCAATCTTGTATTATCAATGAGAGTATTGTAACAATATTGAATATTGTATGTGTAGGCGAGGGAAGCAGTACAAGTAGTGGTAGATGTACCACGGTCAGAAGAGAGCTGTCCATCTCTAACACTTGCATCACTCAATGTGCAGCCATGTTGTTGTCTCCCGATCTAGTGGACGTCACTAGTGATTCTAGCCAGGAAGTGTTATCACAAGTGAGTACGACATAGCTATAGGCGACACAATATTCGGTGATATTCTAATACACTGTTGTTCAAAGGTTTATTACGGACATTTTCCATCACAATTGTAAAAAACAATACACAACGTTTCGGGATCTGGAATCTGATCTCGTCTTCAGGTGAAAAAACTAACACATTACAACTAACAATACACAAACACCCAACCTAAGTTGGAATACAATACAGAGGGTAGCAGTAAAAAAATATGCACTGTATAGCAGTCAAGTCATGATACAACATGCAAATAATAACCAATCACAAAACACTATAATCTATAAAAGGTGTAACGTAAAAAGCTCACACAATGGAACACCAATAGCACCGTTCATAATGACTCCACCAATACAATAATACACCTAATACACCACCTAATACACTATTGTGGTTATTTTTTTCAAGCTCTTAGATTGTTCTCCATCTTGCTTCAAATTGTTTTTTTTTTTTTTTTAATTGTTTAAGGACATAGTACCTGGGGACCGAGCTTTGCTCGGGGAAAATCATTAGTTCACTCTGAAAGCACCTTAGTATTGGAGATGCATAAATCCATTCCCAAACTCCACACGGCTCGCCTTCACCACCATTTCCTACGTCATGGACCTGTTTCCCTCCATTCCCATTGCATTTAAAGATTGCAAATACCTTAATCTAATCGTCATAAACAGTTCCCACACTCCGGACTACTCGCCTTGACTACTTCCTTAACCACTTCCTACGTCGCGGACCTGTTTCCCTCCCTTTCCATAGCATTTTAGGATTGCAAATACTTTAATCTAATCATCATAAACAATTCCCACACTCCGGACTACTCGCCTTGACTACTTCCTTCACCACTTCCTACGTCGCGGACCTGTTTCCCTCCCTTCCCATTGCATTTTAGGATTGCAAATACCTTAATCTAATCGCCATAAACAGTTCTCACACTCCGGACAGCTCGCCTTGACTACTTCCTTCACCACTTCCTACGTCGCGGACCTGTTTCCCTCCCTTCCCATAACATTTTAGGATTGCCCATACCCTTATCTAATCGTCATAAACAGTTCCCACACCCAGGACAGCTCGCCTTGACTACTTCCTTCACCACTTCCTATGTCGCGGACCTGTTTTCCTTCCTTTCCATAGCATTTTAAGATTGCGGACACCTTAATCTAATCGTCATAAAAAGTTCCCACACTACGGACTACTCGCCTTGACTACTTCCTTCACCACTTCCTACGTCGCGGACCTGTTTTCCTTCCTTCCCATAGCATTTTAGGATTGCAGATACCCTAATCTTATCGTCATAAACATTCCCCACACTCCGGACTGATCGCCTTCACTACTTCCTTCATCACTTCCTGCGTCACGGACCTGTTTCCCTCTATTCCCATAGCATTTTATGATTGCCTTTGTTACTTCCTTAACCACTTCCTACGTCGCGGACCTGTTTCCCTCCCTTTCCATAGCATTTTAGGATTGCAAATACTTTAATCTAATCATCATAAACAATTCCCACACTCCGGACTACTCGCCTTGACTACTTCCTTCACCACTTCCTACGTCGCGGACCTGTTTCCCTCCCTTCCCATTGCATTTTAGGATTGCAAATACCTTAATCTAATCGCCATAAACAGTTCTCACACTCCGGACAGCTCGCCTTGACTACTTCCTTCACCACTTCCTACGTCGCGGACCTGTTTCCCTCCCTTCCCATAACATTTTAGGATTGCCCATACCCTTATCTAATCGTCATAAACAGTTCCCACACCCAGGACAGCTCGCCTTGACTACTTCCTTCACCACTTCCTATGTCGCGGACCTGTTTTCCTTCCTTTCCATAGCATTTTAAGATTGCGGACACCTTAATCTAATCGTCATAAAAAGTTCCCACACTACGGACTACTCGCCTTGACTACTTCCTTCACCACTTCCTACGTCGCGGACCTGTTTTCCTTCCTTCCCATAGCATTTTAGGATTGCAGATACCCTAATCTTATCGTCATAAACATTCCCCACACTCCGGACTGATCGCCTTCACTACTTCCTTCATCACTTCCTGCGTCACGGACCTGTTTCCCTCTATTCCCATAGCATTTTATGATTGCCTTTGTTACTTCCTTCACCACTTCCTACGTCGCGGACCTGTTTCCCTCCCTTTCCATAGCATTTTAGGATTGCAAATACTTTAATCTAATCATCATAAACAATTCCCACACTCCGGACTACTCGCCTTGACTACTTCCTTCACCACTTCCTACGTCGCGGACCTGTTTCCCTCCCTTCCCATTGCATTTTAGGATTGCAAATACCTTAATCTAATCGCCATAAACAGTTCTCACACTCCGGACAGCTCGCCTTGACTACTTCCTTCACCACTTCCTACGTCGCGGACCTGTTTCCCTCCCTTCCCATAACATTTTAGGATTGCCCATACCCTTATCTAATCGTCATAAACAGTTCCCACACCCAGGACAGCTCGCCTTGACTACTTCCTTCACCACTTCCTATGTCGCGGACCTGTTTTCCTTCCTTTCCATAGCATTTTAAGATTGCGGACACCTTAATCTAATCGTCATAAAAAGTTCCCACACTACGGACTACTCGCCTTGACTACTTCCTTCACCACTTCCTACGTCGCGGACCTGTTTTCCTTCCTTCCCATAGCATTTTAGGATTGCAGATACCCTAATCTTATCGTCATAAACATTCCCCACACTCCGGACTGATCGCCTTCACTACTTCCTTCATCACTTCCTGCGTCACGGACCTGTTTCCCTCTATTCCCATAGCATTTTATGATTGCCTTTGTTACTTCCTTCACCACTTCCTACGTCGCGGACCTGTTTCCCTCCCTTTCCATAGCATTTTAGGATTGCAAATACTTTAATCTAATCATCATAAACAATTCCCACACTCCGGACTACTCGCCTTGACTACTTCCTTCACCACTTCCTACGTCGCGGACCTGTTTCCCTCCCTTCCCATTGCATTTTAGGATTGCAAATACCTTAATCTAATCGCCATAAACAGTTCTCACACTCCGGACAGCTCGCCTTGACTACTTCCTTCACCACTTCCTACGTCGCGGACCTGTTTCCCTCCCTTCCCATAACATTTTAGGATTGCCCATACCCTTATCTAATCGTCATAAACAGTTCCCACACTCCGGACAGCTCGCCTTGACTACTTCCTTCACCACTTCCTATGTCGCGGACCTGTTTTCCTTCCTTTCCATAGCATTTTAAGATTGCGGACACCTTAATCTAATCGTCATAAACAGTTCCCACAATCCGGACTACTCGCCTTGACTACTTCCTTCACCACTTCCTATGTCGCGGACCTGTTTTCCTTCCTTCCCATAGCATTTTAGGATTGCAGATACCCTAATCTTATCGTCATAAACATTCCCCACACTCCGGACTGCTCGCCTTCACTACTTCCTTCATCACTCCCTACATCACGGACCTGTTTCCCTCTATTCCCATAGCATTTTATGATTGCCTTTATTACTTCCTTCACCACTTCCTATGTCGCGGACCTGTTTCCTTCCCTTCCCATAGCATTTTAGGATTGCAGATACCTTAATCTAATCTAATCGTCATAAACAGATCCCAGACTTCGCACTGCTGCCCTTGACTACAATCATAGATAAAACCATAGACTATAAAACATACTCCCTACAATGTATCGAATCGAGTAATCTTCAGTATAATCTTTGCTAAATATTATGCTAATTATTAAGTGATGTTTTCCTTTTGTACTGTATTTGTAATTTGCTAGTATACTGTGGGTAGTTGGCTTACTATGAACACATGCTACAACTTCAAGTCTTTTGTTTACTTTATCCTTGTTATTTAATTCATCCAACATGGTTACCTAGCAACCCATAAGACTAATGTTAAAAAAATGTGATTTTCTGTTTCATTTTTCTACGTAATTAGATTTTTGTTGGCAGTTCTAACTGCATGAAACTCGTTTTTAGGCCAAAAATAAACTATTTACAAGATTTGAAGAAAATCGTCGGAGCCGTTTTCGAGATCTTTCTGCAAGCAAGCAAGCAAGCAAGCATACAAGCAAACATTGCTCGTATTAGAGTATAGGATTACTCTTCTGCCTACAACCACAGTCTTAGGTCCAAAACTACTCATATTATTCTTCATGGTACTTGGAAACCAAAAACAGAATCAGTTTTATTCGGGTTGCGTAAGCTGGATGAGGTTCAGTATCGAAACAGATACATCCCTTCTAATCAGTTGTGAACATTTCTTAACTTCTAACACATTTTGTATCCTATTCATTTCCAAGGCATCTTTTCTTTATAACGTTTGTAATTTGCTAAGTTTCATAGGCTAGTTTAAACATTTGATCAAAAGAGTAACTTTTTGTTTTACTCATCACAACAAATCACCCAGTACTGACAGAGGCAAGTTGACTTGTAGTGGGCATGGATAAGTATATTTCCTTTACTAGTGGCCATTTTGAAATAAAAGTAACAAAGCTGTTTAATATTTACGACTTATACAATCAAACTTCCTCAACTGAGGCAGTACGTCAAAGTCTTGCATAGAATCCATTTTTGTCACAAATCTATAAGAATTTTATCAAACGAACTATAAAATAATTACAAATAAAGCAAAGATGGAAAACAATCTGACATGTTATAAACCTTGGCTCGCCGTAATAGTTGTTAAGAGTAACTCCACTGTTTAGGTAGTGAATGTGTGCCACAAGATTCTCGTGGAGTTTCTGAAGCAACTGGAATCCACGACATGTTCCAACAATCAGTTTACTAAAAGAGAACGAGAACTGATTCTGTCAGGTTTTCGACAATTATCTCTGGACAAGGAGTATGATGACATCATTTCTCACAGGTAGGCCAGCCTAAACAATTATTGTGTTTTTCTTACACGTCCATAAAACATAGCATTTTCCATTTACTTACTTCCTGCCGTGGCTCCACAAGTGTTGATTCTTTGCCTCGTGTACCAGCCTCTTCCACCCTTCTCTGTCTTCTGCCAAGTTGACGTTTGCACCCATCCTCCTAACGTCATTCAATACTTGGTCAGTCCATCTCAATTTCAACCTTCCCTATGGACGATTACCTCCAGGTGTGGCTCTCCAAACTTCATAAAGTCTTGTTCCTTTCTCTATTCTTAGGACATACCCTATCTAATTTAACCTTCTTCCTTTAACCATTGCAACAATATCCGGGTTGGTGTATAGTAATCTTAGCTCTCTATTTTCCTCCTTATCCGCCACATTTCTCCCTCATACACTAGTCTAGATATTTTAATTAGACTTTATTTTCAAAGACCATGAGTTGTTTTTTATTTTTCTTTGACAATACCCATGTTGCATTTTTCCATTTAATACACTAATTAGGCTGACCAAGCCAATTCCACTTGCAACAGAGGTTTTAACAAACGTTTTGCAGAGTACACTCCACTGAATTTGAAAATAATAATGTGTATCAATAACATGACTACTGAGGTTTCTAGCAAGTTTCAACAGGCTCAATATCCCTGTATTAGATTCATATTTGACCTGATACGATAGTATGATGTTACACCTTGTTTCAATGTACTTTCATTACTGAAGTTAATTAATTAAATGAACTTGAGAAATTTATGAGTCTCTTTTCCAATAACAAAAATTCCAAACTTTTCTGATAATTTCTGGTATCAGAACCTGGCCAAGTACTTTTCTTTACACTACACCCATTAATTACACAACAGTATTTAATAAATCTTTCTTTGTCTGCAATTGGAACGTTTAATCCTCTCCCTGACCACATAAAACCGTAGAAAACTGTGCGAGGTTTGGGATAGAGATAAAATAAAATCCATTAATTTGAGGAGTAGGCCTAAGTGAGTCTTTGGCACTGGTGAGATGGGTTGTTAGCAAGCAATGTGAATGATTCTATTTAGGGTTAGTCAATTTTAATTTCATCATGTTTAACTATCTCTATAATGTTTACCATATATACTTATGTTAAGCCTACTTTAGATTATTTTTTAACCATAGTGATTAGTTTTAGTCTATTTTTGTTTTAGAGGTTAAATGGTAGAGAGGACTTACAAGTGCTTACTTCGCCGAATAAAGACATTTTTCATTACTTTTCATTTCACAACTGTCACAGAAGTAATGTTTTGTTTTCCAGAGAGTTGTACAATGATGAGAGAGGGATCACGGCAAGAAGAGCTTTGGGCCTGATATCAATACTTGTAGAGGTGTCACAAACCACAGCTCAGAAAATAATTTCAAGGTATGATTGAAGTTGATCCTCGACGATTTCATACTTATGATGTACAACCAATAATATTATTTGTTGGGTCAGTGAAAAGAATATTTTTCATGTATGTTCTTTTATTCACAACTATAGACTACAACTTTTTAGTTGAAACCTAAATTATTAAAATGAACTGTGCTTAAAGTTTCCTTTAACCCTTGACCTTGGACATAAAAAGATATTTCATCATCCCTTTTGTCACCAGTTTTTAATCAAAATGGACTTGGTTGAACGGAGCCACCTGCAATAAATTTGCTGGGGTAAATTATTGATATCAGTTGAATACACTAAGTTTATAACCAAGCCAAACTGATATGTTGATATGATGTAAGTTGCGGTTTCTTTTATATCACACAAAGCATCTTAGTAACAAAAATTAATACAGGGAAAAGAATTTAAGACTGTAGCTCGCTGTTTGGTTGTCCCATTTATTTATTCTTCCAACGGTAACACCCTTTTTACATTAAAAAATACATTAAATAGGTTAAATCACTTCAGGTACTAAAACAATATTCAATGGAATAAATACAAAAATCAGGCATATCATGCAAAGTAAATAACCAGCAAATAATATAGCGCGTAATTAACTACAATAGGTAAAATATGAAGTGCAAAAACAAAACAAAAAATAAGTTAATACACAACCAAACATGGCAACAACCAGACAAAAAATAAAAAGTGCAATACTGGTACCATTCAATTTTATTTGGTACTTTTGAAAGTAAAGAACAGCTCTGGCCTTTTAAGATGGCATGTCTACTTTAACATCCAAAGGACAATGAAATAAAAATCACTTCTTATGTAACCCAACTATTATTCTCCAATCAGGCCTGACTACTATTGAAACATAATTTTTAGTTCTTCTTGTTAATGTTCACTGTTTAAGAGTAGACAAATGGAAGAGTATTGGACGATGTATTTTATTATATTTGTATAATGTTATCAAGAAACTATTATTTTATTTATTGTCTTTTGTTTAATATTTTTCAGTAGCTCGAAGGAATCTGGTGACATTTTGGATACTGTGAAAAATATTGTCCGACAAATTGAAAAACAGGTAAGCAATATTGATATATTGTGATGCAAGGTTCAATTAAAAACTGTTTATTCATGTGTCCCACACTTTTGATACAATCAATGTTACACTTTTGCCAAAATTCACTAACCTGAAGGTACAAAAATACGTGAAATAATTCTTGTAGCCTAATTATATATTTACACTTATACTGTTGACTCACAAGACGGTAAATACATTTATCCATGTTTGCCTCCTGGATTGAACAATAATAATAATAATAGGTTAAATACCTTGTATACGTCCTCAATCCAAGTCGTCTTTTATAATGACTATAGTTTCGGGGCCAACAGCCCCATTGTCAAATTTTCTGTCTTGTTAATTACTGTTTATAGCATTGGAAGTACACATACACATACACTGACACACGAAACATTTATATTTACACGTAACATTGAAAAATTATACTATTTGGCCGGCCTAAACAAAAGTGATTACATCATTGTGCGGACCGGTACACTGACTGACATGGTAAATACATATAAAAGAAGTGGTGATCGATTTTGATTGGACACTCCAATCATCAGACCCAATAGACGAATGTATATATTTAAATAGCTTATGGTTAATTTAAGCTATTTCAATTTTTTTTTTACAAAGAAATGTAAAAAGTATATATCTACCAAATTGATTAAGAAAAGGGGGAGTATAATGAAAGTCAAGGGGTCATTTTGAAAGTTCTTCTAAAAATTATGATTTTAAACAATTTTGTTTTCAATTATAATCAGTTCTCAATCAAGAATTTTAAACTATGAGATGTATAATGGTTACTCAATTTTCAAACTCTGAAACTAATTAAATTATGCATTAATCAAATAAATACACTAGATTCGCTCATCCGGACAAATGTGGCTGTCGTCCGGTCCGGATTACAATAAATCCGCATTATGGGCAGTTGAGCAAATACAGTACTGTATATAGCCGTTTTTTTTTTTTCAATTTTGTTCCAGGTCCACAGCATTGATAACCGTGCAAATGCAATTCCACCGTTAATAATTTTTTCCACCGAGTTTTTGATTATCCAAGGTAGTCTCGGTCACGTTTAGCTCGGATAATCGGACTTCTACTGTACTGTGCGGCTAAAAAAAATCATGTTTGCCAATCCGGCTCGAGTGAGAAACATACTTTTGTTCCGTTTAATTTTCCTTTTAACCATGTCTATACTATTATTTCTCTCATTAACACTGGAAATTAATCTTCTTATTTTTAAACCTAAATCCACTTAACTTGTTAGTTACTCACTGTCTAACTTTGATCTTTAAGAGTTGATGTGGGGAAATTATTGGTTGATGTTCTGGATATGTTGCAGCAATCCATCTTTCAGACAAGCTACAAATCATAGAACAAAATTTGGCTTGTCACGAAAGTGGATTGGATCCATCCAAAAAGATCAATATTTTTGCCAGTTCGACATCACGGTCAACTCCTAAACACCAACACTGTTTACTTTAACAATGGCTTTGACCTTCTAGTGGAGTTCTACAACCCAACATTGTTATAAAATGTTGCTGATTGAATCATCTTGAGTAGTTAATGTTGGTTTACATATTTCTGTTACCTAAGACATGTTGTTGTACTTGTAGAGGAAAACCCTCAGGTTCCAAGGAGTGCTGGCAGGATCTGTCTCTCTGATACTGAGTCTGCTCAATTCTAACCAGGCTATCTCCAAGGAAACGTAAGTTAATCATTACATGTGTATTTATTTTATTTTATTTCTATATATAAAAGGCAAAGCCCTCACTGACTCACTCACTCACTCACTCATCACTAATTCTCCCACTTCCCATTTACCTAGGAGGCTGAATTTTGGTACACTGATTCTTTAGGCATTAAATAGGAAAACTAAGTTGTTTTTGTTCTGATCGGACTCTCGGGCTCCGCCCCAGTGGCTCTGGAGTTTCCCATGTTAACCTTATGAGTACTCATATTTAAATGGAATTAATGAATCTTAACAGCTGTTTCAATTAAACAAGTTGGTTCTGTTCTATGATGTGCAATAGCATTAAAGTTACAAGGATTACCAACAGGTAGCAGCACTATTATTTTTTTTTAATTTTTGACAACAGCTAATTTGCAACCATAAGGTGAGTGAGCGTAGTGAACGAACTTCAACCTGGAGGCAAGTTAGCGTAGCGAACGAGCTAACTTGAAGGTAAGTGAGCGCAGCGAACGAGCTCCAACCTTAAGGTGAGTGAGCGTAGCGAACGAACTTTAACCAGGACGTGATTGAGCCATGCGAACGAGCTCACTTATGAAGTAAAACGGGGCAAAGCCCGCGGGTACAGCTAGTTTATATATACATTGATTCCTTCAGTAATCTTGTGTGAATAGCACACATGTTTGCATTTTGTTTGATTTTTTTTTATTTTCCTGTGTGTAAAAGACGCAATACTGTTATTGGAGTGATAAAACTTATACCTTTTTGAAGGAATGATGAGCTTCTTGAAGAGATCTATTTTATCTATAATCTGTTAACAATATGATAGTTAAAGTGTTCTTTGACATGTTGTAGGTTAAGAATCGACAAAGATAACTCTTGTTTCACCACAAGTTTCTGTGCTATTAACTTAAGGAGTGACACTGTAAGAAACATCAATAGGTTTAAAATCTCTTGCAAATCCATTGGAGTCATAATAAACTAAATGTTTCGAGGTGACTGACACATCTTCAGGTGTACCGGTAACCTCTTTTATAATATGTCATGTGTGTAAAATATGAAAGTTACAACATTTTGAATGACAAACTTATAGCGAAGCAAATACATTGTTTGAATATGCAAGTCATTGAACAGCTGATCAGCATGTCACAAGACCTCGAACTGGACACTACAATACCAGTTGCCGCCCTGACTAAGCTTTAGTACACACAAATTCTGCACCACAACACTAATAATCTTATTAATCTATAGGTTTTGTGCTCATATTGTCTACTCTCTGGGAAATTCGGGAAAACCGGGAAAACTCCGGGAATTTTATCTTACCTTGAAATGTCCTGGAAAACTCCAGGAATCCACCCAAACCTCCGGGAATCCACAGCCCGGTCATCGGAATCGTCGGCTAACCAAACACTAACGCTTTTGTTGCCGAAATCGCGACGATTATCGGTGTCGCCGAAACCGCAAGATATGACATAGACATAGACATATTTTATTTACACAAAACGTTCTTTATAAAGTACATTTCATACATAAGAACAGGTGTTTCGTCATAGTGATGTATTAGTAAAATTAATAGTTAAAATAATTAAAATAAACTCATGTAGGATATCAGAGAATTTTTATCTAGCCTACACTATAGGGTTCTCCAAAAATTCGTCAAGTGAATAGTAGGCTTTCTCAATTATTTTATCTTTGAATTGAGTAGCATTTAAATTTTTAAGATACAGGGGTAATTCATTGTACAATCTAAGTCCCATATATTGAGGGCTGTTCCTAAAAGTCGTCAATTTGTGATGTGGTAATCTGAAATTATATTTATTCCTTGTATTATAATTATGTGTAAATTTTACTACATCTGACAAATTTTCCTTAGTGTTATGTATCCAATTTAGAATTTCATTTATGTATAATCCAAAAATGGTGTGAATTCTAAGACTTTTAAACAGGTTTTACATGATTTTCTCCTTCTTGATTTGGTTAAGATTCTAATAATTTTTTTCTGTGAAATTAGTAGGGATTTGACTTCTGTTGACACTCCCCACAGTATGATTCCATACCTCAAGATGGATTCAACGTATCCATAGTAAACTGTGATACATGTATCCTGGGGTACACAGTTTATCAGGTGAAAGAAAGCAAAAGAAATAGATCTTAGTTTGCCTTTCATCTTATCTATGTGAATCTTCCAATTAATAAGAGGAAGAGGAGGTGTCGAGTCAGAAAAAAAGATATCTGCACAAACTCAGTAAAATCAACAGAGACCCAGAGTTTCTTGCATATGTTAAGGAATACAAAGCAATTTTCAAAAAATGTGTTCGATCATTAAAACTTAATTACAACAATAGTTTTATAGAAAAATCAAATAACAGAACAAAGGCTGCATGGGATATAATTAAAGCTGAGCAAGGCAATAGTAAAGACAAAACAATCACATCTATTCATCATGGAAACATTACATATAAGAAGCCTCATGATATTGCAATAGTTTTTAACAATTTTTTTGTAAATACATGTAATAATTTGAACTTGAGTACAGATGTAGATGACGTAAGAGCCTTCCTTGCGAATGTGAATACTCCATTAGTAAATATGTCTCATTTTAAGGAAACAACTTCATCTGAAATTTTTAATGTCATAAAAAGTCTTAAGTCTTCAAAATCGGCTGGCTGGGATGGCATTCCATCTTTTTTAGTCAAAGCTTGTTCTGATAAACTCTGTTATCCTTTATCAATTCTTATTAACAGATCTTTTGACCATCATAAATTCCCAGATTTACTTAAATATAGTGTTATTAGCCCTGTTTTAAAAAAAGGGGATTCTTCAGTTTTGGACAATTATCGGCCTACCTCCATCCTCCCTACTTTCTCTAAAGTATTTGAGAAGGTAGCTTTAAACCGATTATCTTATTTTTTTGAGAGCAATCACATATTTTGTGAAAACCAGTTTGGTTTCAGGAAGGGTAGAAATACAACTAAGGCAATTTATGAGTTTGTTTCGGGCATTTCGGAGGCTGTTGATAGATCGCAGTACACAGTCGAAGTGTTCTGTGATCTGTCGAAGGCCTTCGACTGTGTTGACCATGACTTGCTCATGAAAAAATTGAATCACTATGGGGTTGAGTGGTAATGCACTTCTCTGGGTTCAGTCCTATCTGGATAATAGGAAACAATCAGTCAAAATAAATAATATTGTTCAAAGTAATTATTCCATTGTTAAAGCTGGTGTCCCTCAAGGATCAATTCTGGGACCATTCCTTTACTTAGTCTTTGCTAATGACCTACCAAATGCAGTTCATAACTCCAAATTAATAACATATGCAGATGATACTACTCTTTTATGTAAACACCCCATCCGGGTTAATTTATTTAAAATGCTAGAAAATGACTTATCTGCTATGAATTCTTGGTTTAAAGCTAATGGCCTTCTTTTAAATAAAAATAAAACTTTTGCTATTAATTTTCATTCCAACTACTCCAATTCAAAATACTCTGATGACTCTTATGTCAAACCCTTATTGCAGACAGCAGATAGTTATAAATTCTTAGGGTTACACGTTGATCCTTCTTTGAAGTGGGATGAGCATGTACATTTTTTATCAAAAATTCTCCATAAAGGTCATTTTCTAATTCTAAACTTATCAAAAATCCTGGAGATAAACATTTTGAAAATGGTTTACTATGCATATATCTATTCAAACTTAACATATGGAGTGATATTTTGGGGCAACTCACAGTCTTCTCCAGCAATATTTAAGGTTCAGAAAAGCATTGTCCGTGCTATGACAAATTCCCCCTATACTGCATCATCCAAACCAATTTTCAGGAAACTAGATATTCTGCCTTTACCTTGCATTTTCATTCTACATACCCTTCTATTTGTTAAAGAAAATTTTCACAAATTCACTCTTTTAAAATCTACACATAACTATCCTACACGTAATTGTAATCTTTCTTTGCCGATACATCGAACAGCAGCTTTTGAAAAGACACCATTCTATACAGGCAGCCGATTATTTAATAAACTACCTTCTCATATTCGCAATGAATCTTCTGCCAAAGCATTTAAAAGAAAACTTGTAAACTATCTAAAGAGCCATATGTTTTATTCAGTAGAGGATTTCATTTTATATAGTAATAGTGGTTTGTAAAATGGTTCATGTGGAGAGTTTGTTTTCTCATTATGTTTAAGTTACATTAATTTAGTTTTTAACATTTTTGTATCATATTTTTGACATGTCATCTACCATTGAGGACCCTGTACAGAGGATTAACTCCTCTGTATATGGTGTAATTTGTGACAATTTACATGAATAAATGAATAAATGAATAAATATGAGTATCAAGCAATACACCCAAAAATCTATGAGATTCTACTAAATTTGGAATTTTATCGAGAATTACACTGTTTTTTAAAGAAAATTTGATTATATGAGTTTTGTCAATATTCAGCTTTAAACCATTATCTGAAAACCAATTTTTCATACAATCCAAAGTGTTTTCCATTGATACAATTAAGTTATTTACTGAATCCTCTCTTATGATTGCTGTTGTATCATCAGCAAATAAGATTAAATCTCTGCCAATAGCTTTTGGAAGGTCATTAACCCTTTTACTGCCACGGGCCGATTAGATCGGCCTTACGATATGTTGTGAAGACCGCCAAGGGCCGATCTCATCGGCTTAAACATTGTATTCGAAGTCCGCCACGGGCCGATCTCATCGGCTCTGCAATGTCGAGCGAACCCCGCCACCGGCCGATCAGATCGGCTCGGCGTATTTTTGATATTGCGCTGTTATTTTTACTAATATACTCGTAAACTTCATATTACTATAAAGCCTAAGGACCATTCTAGTTGGTTCCACAGCGTAAATTATCTAAAGCTTTTATTATAGTATCCCAACAACACAAATGACATCGATCAAGTGGGCCGTGCCATGAGCAGACTGGCGATTGGCGCCACGCAGTCTGTCGCGGCTTTTACTGGCGCCAAACAGTCTGCAATGAGGTTTTGTTTACTA